GAGGAACCCGAGTATCGCCAATATGGAGGTGGCAGCAACGCTCAGAGTTCACTTATCCAATTCTTCGATATCGCTTTGGGCATCGAACACCGGCCCACCGGTGAGACTCGTCCCGCCAGCAGTCCGTCCGAGGATGACAAGGAAGGCGTTGCGGGAGCACCCCGGCACGGGTTCATTCAGGAGATGCGAACCTACATGCCCGGCCCTCATCGGCGTTTCCTGGAACACGTGAGCGCTGTAGCCAATATCCGGGAGTACGTTGAAGCGCGACGCTCGGACAAAGCCCTCTGCCTCGCCTACGATGCCTGTCTCGCTATGCTGCGGTCCATGCGAGACAAACATATTCAAATGGTGTCCCGATATATCATCATCCCCGCGCGGGATGCACGAAATCGTGCACCCGAGACGTCCAGTGCCAGGAGGCCATCAATAACGATGAATCTGGCCAATGTTCGGCCTGGCAGCAAGAAGCTGCGCGGCACGGGCGGGACAGCACTGATCCCGTTCCTGAAGCAGGCGCGCGATGAAACTGGAGAGCCTGCTATTGACGCTTGGGCGCGACGACTGCTAAGCAACGGTCCAGCGGAGCCGAGCTTCGCGGCGCTGAGCAAATTGGGCGAGCATCCGGACGGCCACCTGGAAGTGGTCGGGCTATCAGGGACCTGGACGGCAGATGATAGTGAGGGAGGTATCTGCCATTGGTAACCCGATCAGGGCATGACAAAAACGATTATTCATCTTTTTCATATGTTGCCATGCGAGATCTGCGATAGACTTGTCACTTTGCATTAGCGGTGCTTCATTATCGGGCTGTATAGACTCCGAACATCTAAATGACAGCTTGGCACTTTACTCAGCCATACGAATACATTCACTTCAATTTCTACGATGCATGACGCATTGATGATGCCATCCAGTATGTTGCGCGCGTTTGTTTCTGGATATCTAGTGCATTATTCACGAGGCCCCCAATTTGTGACCACATGCTATGATGTCATTTCATGATGTCATCTATCTCAAGCCACAGATATGGACATGACGGTGACGCCAATTGTCTATATAAAGCCACAGACATCTTTGAATCGTCGAGCAAACATATCAGAACGAAACAAACCATCCAAGGCTATTTCAAACAAGACCAATTTTGAACAACGCACAAACGTCCACATACAGACACATTCTACAAACAATCGATCACCATGTCTGACAACAACAACAACAACGCTTCCACCCTCAACAGCTACATCAACCAGGCCACTGGCCTCGCCCAGCGTGCCATGGGCTCCGTCACCGGCAACCCATCCACTCAGGTACGCACCGACCCCATTCCCCCCTCGATGTACCACGTCCAATCCACTAACAGCACCCCAGGCCGAAGGCGAATCCACCCACACCCAAGGCAAAGCCGAGCACGCCGCCAGCCACGAGACCGCTAAGATGGGCCCCGTCGCCGCAGACCCGCAGACAGGCGCCGCTGCCAAGGACGACCCCAAGCGCACGCAGGGCACCTGGGACCAGACCGTGGGTTCGGCCAAGGAGTCGCTCGGCAACTTGATCGGAAACGAGAATCTGCGCCGCGAGGGCCAGGAGCAGAATGCTAGCGGCAAGGCGCAGGAGGCGAAGGGTCAACTGCAGGATTGGGGTGAGGGCGCTGCGGACCGGGCTAAAGGGGCTCTCGGATCGGTTGGTGCTGCGGTCAAGGGGGATCGTACTGAGGAGGAGAAGTGGAGGGATGTGCATGATGAGGGGAAGGTCAGACAGAGAGGTGCGGAGGTGGATATGGAGAAGAGATATGATTGAGTTGATTACGGCCGGGTGGGTGTCTTGCGTCTTTGATCTGGCGGATTGATTCTTTGGTGATACCTTATGAGCTATGATATGATATCCAATTTGATTATTGATTTCTGTCTGCGTTCAGTACGTCTGTGTTTCAGCTAGCTGCTTGAGCTTGTACATCTAAATTGAGATTCGCATAAACCGTTCTATCATTGTTATCAATCTTCGAGTACCAACGGGTAAATAGAAAATAGAACCCGCCAAGAACGCCTGGAAACTAATTCCATCAATAGAATCTGTCATAGCATGATTTAATAGTCCGTAGGTTATCAATCTCGGACATAGAGCGAGCTTGTCAGCTATGCCCCTCATGAAGCCAGGTCCACCATTCTTCTCACTATGATCTCATTGCGCCAATGTTAACGCCCTCAACTCCATTCCACATCACACATCCAACATACTGATTACACCAAATTGAATTGTTAATGTTGCGCAACATGGCAAAGTCCTTGACTCTACGTTCGACATACCGAATGAACTCGGGCCATGAGATTCCCCTCCTGGGATATGGAGTGAGTTGAATATATAACCTTCCCTCATATCTACAATGCTAATCAATTTTGGTGCCGGTGTAGGTCTACATGATGTGCGTACACATCTACAAATTGATATCCGACTACTGACACCGAACCACCCGCCAGTCCCGCATCTCAAACGGAAAAGTCCACGCTAGAAGCTCTCAAAACGGGTTATCGTCATGTATACCAGCCATAACAATCGAGTACGAATACCAGCTTATGTCGGTGTAGGTAGACTCTGCGATCATGTACCGCAACGAAAAAGCCTGCGGCCGCGCAATCCGGAACTCTGGTCTCGATCGCTCCGAAGTCTTCTTCACGACGAAGATCCCGCCGGGCTCGATGGGGTACGAGCGCACCAAGCGCGCGGTCGACTCTAGTCTGCGAGAAGCCGAGGTGGATTATTTTGATCTGTAGGTACCTCCCGGTAGATGGCCCCGAAGGATATAGCTGAGTCATACGACAGAATCCTCATCCACGCTCCCTACGGCGGCAAGGACGCCCGCCTTGGCTCGTGGCGCGCTCTAGTTGAGGCGCAGGCAGCCGGGAAGACACGCTCTATCGGCGTATCGAACTATGGCATCCATCACCTCGACGAATTGGAAGAGTATATCAAGGGCGGCGAGGGCCGGGGCAAGATCGACGTTGGACAGTATGAGCTGCACCCATGGCTGGATAGATCGGAGATCGTCGAGTGGCTTAAGAAACGCGATATTGTGGTTGAGGCGTACTCGCCGCTGGCGCATGGGTATCGGCTTAACGAGCCTATCTTGAAGACCTTGGGGAAGAAACACGGCAAGTCTCCTGCGCAGGTTATGATCCGGTGGAGTCTGCAGAAGGTGAGTGTTCTATCTGTTTACATTTAGGGGGTATGATTGACGGAGGCTAGGGGTTTGTTGCGCTTCCCAAGTCTGTTACGCCGGCACGCATTTTGGAGAACGCGGATGTCTTTGATTTTGAGATCTCGGAGGAGGATATGCAGGCGCTCAATACGGGGGAGTATTCGCCGACGGATTGGGACCCTACTGTCGAGTATGATTGATGTTGTGCTAGAAATGTGATGGTATATCATGTAGAGTAGTATATTTAGCCAAGGAGGTGCCAATGCTGCAACAATCAGCGATATCCTCTCATAGATAGCCTTCTGCATTTATTGCGAGGTGATGTTCTATTTGCATCTACTGCACATGCACCCAATCTGATAACAAGCAGTTGGGAATTCGTAATGCAGTTGGCGTGTCGGTCACCGATATGGTTACAATCCCGGAGCGGAAATCACAGCGGGCGCGGGGCTGCTTAGCAATTCGAACCCGATGCAATCCGTCTTATCAAGCGCAATTTGTCACCATTTCCAAGCGCAACACAACTCAAAATAAATCAATATATCCGGCTTCTTTTCCTTGTATTCTGTCTATAATCAAGGAACCAGTCATGAAGCTGATCCTATCCACCTCGTAAGTGGCAACGTGCTGGGACTAAGGACTACCCTCTATCACCGGACGAGACTGATCGAGATGTGTTTTATTTCGCAGAAATCTCATGACGAGTGGCGGTTCGTCCGTCATCAGACATCCAGGCACAACGAAATCGAACGTCGAGCTGATCAACTCGCTACGAGCGAATTTCCAGGCTGCGCAACAGCTTGCGGCCGCGGATGAGACCGAGACAAAGCCCACGGAGAGATACAAGGCATGGACATCGATGCAGGATGATGCGCTTTACATTCCCGCAATCGACTTCTCCCAGAACGGGCTGGCGGAGGAGAGGTCGCAGTACGATATTACGGTGAAACTGTTCTATCTACCCGGGATCCCGGTGTCGAGACGGTGCGCGCATACGCGGCAGGCGATCGATCTGGTATTGAAAGAGCTACATGTGGATTCTATCGACCTGCTTATTGTTTCCTTCCCTGGGATTTTGTTCGACGCGGAGGATGACAGCGAGGAAGAGGTGTCGTCGGATGACGGAAGCGAGGAGCCAGATGACTTTGACAGCATCATTCAGTCGTGGAGGACGCTTGAGGGGCTGCATGAGAAAGGCATGATTGCTCAGCTGGGTGTGGCGGAGTTTGGAAGCGACAGGCTCGCTCGGTTCCTACCACATACCAAGGTCAAACCGTCTGTTGATCAGATCAACCTCAAGGACTGCTGTGTTGTCCCCAAGTCGTTGATTCTCTATGCGAAGCAAGAGAATATCCAACTGCTTACGCATAACGACTGCAATGATATCCTGCCGGTAGGCACGACACGGGAGCTGCTGGGTCCAGGCGAGAAGGGCGCTGGAATCCTTGCGTCCGCTCCAGATGCCGACGACGGGATCAAAGGCGATGTTGAGCCACAATGGGTGGTCAAGTACACGGTGGTGGTCAAAGACCGCGGAGTGGTGGAGAACAAGGGGTATTTTGCGCTGGCAGACGTAGGCACTTGTGTCAAGACGAGTTCATGAGAATATGCGATGCTATTCAGTGAGGTCTGTTTCTATTCTTGCAAAGTACACATTTTCTTCGTTGCATTGTGCGATAGAGCGTGGCGCAATATCTTGGTTCTTCAATGATGACGAATGATTGCACGTGTATGTTGATCTTCTCATATCTCGAATGGACAACAGAGTCGTGGGTATAGATCATGAATGCTTCGAGCAAGCCGCTCATCCAATCATACTTCTCTTACGACCTCTCATCCGCACTTCCTCTAACCGTTTCAACGCAGAGCTAGCGCCCTTGTAGCTTTCCTTATACCCTTTGAGGACCTCTTCGAAGAGCGGCTCAGTACGAGGATGGGTGCTACCAAACGCCCTCTCAAGCACGTATAGATCGACCGCGCGGTCTTCATCCTGCAGACTCTGACTGGCCAAGCCAAAATCGATCAGAACAACATCCCCCTCCATGGACGGATTTGTCTCGTCAGCGGCGGGTTGCTGCTCCGCATGACTCGGCGGTCGCAGGATGAGATTGCTCGTCGTCAGATCCCCATGGATAACGCCGGCCTTGTGCAGTGCCCCAACAGCGTGCCCAATTCTCCTCATCAAGTCTCGAACCCGCGCTTCTTCCTTTTTCAGTTCCTCCGCGCCCTGGCCAGCCTGGTTCCGCTTCATGTATTTCTCCCACCGCTCCAGTACGACGCGCACCACCAACCCCTCAATCCACTCCATCATCAACCAGGCCCCTCCGAATCCCTTTTCGCCAGATTGGCCCTCCCAATCCAGCGCCAGCACGGCGGGGACATTGACGCCTTCCCGGACGAGTTTGACCAGGCACCGCGCTTCCTGCAGTATGCGCTGGCGCGTGAGCCGGCGGTCGAGAATCGGGTGGCGGTAGGGCTTTGACGGGCGGACCTTCAGAGCAGCTGGGGTGGAGGGTGAGAGGAAGACGGTCTTATAGAGGTGTGCTTCGGCGCCTTGGGTGAGCAATTGCGGTGGAGGGGTTGTGTTCGTGAAGGGAGAAGGGAGGGGAGGTGGTGTGTATGGGTCCGCTGAAGCCATCGTTCGAAATTGATGCCAGTTTCTGTTAATGCTTCTAAGTGCCTCAAAATAGTATTGTCGGGCCCTAGAGTATTTTCAGGTGCTGCAGCTGGGTCCAATGATGGTTGTGGATGTGGTTGTGATAAGTCCGAGAAAAAGTGACGATTCTCTTGGTGGGGCAGGTGCGTGGATCACCGATCAATCGAGGTACGGCATCATCCGTCCATACTACGATAGTGACATGAGGAGCTCCAAAGGGAGGAATTCCTCAATTCTCTGGTTTGAATAGCTTCAAATTCCATAAAATTGCATTGAGCTGCAAGATTTCCTTGAGCCGTGGCCGACCTATATCCGCAGGGCTATGGCCCAGGCCGCTGGCGACGGGTAGTATGATAGTATCTACAGATGACGCTCAATACCACGGCAGCTGATCCAGCTTCGGAAACAACTCATCACCGTTCACTCCCCCTTTCCAACGAAGCAGCTCCTCAACGACGGCCTCCAACTCCATGTCAACGAACAGTTCGTCGTCCATGCCAGGCTTCCATCCTCGTTTAACCCTCTTCGCAGCCAGCTCCTCGCCGACACCATACGGATCCCGTCTCCACAGACCAATCCCACTCTTCTCTTCCCCTGATATCAACGACGCCAGGGGCGTTACTTCTTCCGGGGGATTGATCCCAACGACCGCTCCGGAACACGAAGCTTGGCCCCTAGTCCTCAACCCAAGAGCCGGAAAATGACACTCCATGAACCGCTGGCGCTTGAACTCGTGCGTAACAACAGTGATCTTTGTCGGATACGCTCCGACGTACGATCTGAATCTGAGCAGAGAGAAAAGCACATTCTGATAGGAGTCCGTAGCATTGGTTTCGGCTATGACTCGGTCAGGATGGATCCTCGAAGAGTAAGAGAAGTAATCATTGTCTTTGGCCAAATTCTGTCGGAGGACGTCAACTGATGTCTCGCTTCTGCACTAGGGAGAACGAGATGGGTAGTCTCACATTATATGAGGTGCCTTCCGCTAAGTCTGTTCTGTCTTTCTTTGTTGGGCCTCTGTAAAGAATCAGCTACTACAAATCCGCCGGTGTGAGCTACTAGTACTCTAACAAAGGGGAAGGCGTACCCGGAAAACACCAGCAGTCCATACGGATCGTCCGCCAATGCTTTAAGACCAGCCTGAACATGTGCAGTGAATGTGGGCGTTTCACCCCTTTGGAAAGGTTCAATCAACCTACCCGTAGTACATACAGTTAGCGCGCGCAAAGTGTAGATTATAGTGTTGTATATTGGTGGACATGAGATTATGGGATTCCAAATCGCTTGGAATAGCCAAGCTACACAGCTCACCATTCGTCCTCGGAGAGACCCTTTGTTGGTCCGCCAATGTATATCGCATGACTGCAAACGACTATTAAGTGATTGCAGGCTGATATCTGGGAGCTTGGTGACCTTTCCATCGCTTTGGCCAAGACGTGTGAGAGGTGTGGTTGACAAGGCTAGCGATAAGCGGATGCTAATTTTGGCGATGTTTTAAGGAATCAATGATGCGGCGCACTCATGAGACATCGCATGATTCCCTCTCATCAAAAAGATCCCGACTTTACTCGATTATATAAAGCCCAACCCTCTCATCGGAGGGCTCAGTTGGCACTAAATCATCAAAATAGACCATCGGGCGAGGTACTTTACTTTGTATATTCGGTATGCAAACCTTAATGCAAAAATAAGCTTGGAAATTGAGTAAATAATCTATCGTACAGTACACGTTTGCGTGTTTATGGAACAATTGAAAAAAAAAAAACCCCCGCCCTGAATATGAGTTGGTGTCGTAGAAAGCAGTCGCAAAAGGAATCCGAAAGCATCACAAAACTCCGTCTCATGACCATATCATGACCTTATGTGCGATGCTCAGATGAGAAACATGACGCTGACCTGACAAATGCGACGGTGGGAAAAAATAACCACCGCAGAATGAACGCCGTGGGTTGGCAGAGGATTCACATCCATTTTGTCAATGTGCAACCATAGTAAAGTAAAAAAAGACATCAGAACGATGCGTTAAACTGATGCAATAATCAAGGCCCTGCGCCGTGTGAAGTAGATCTTTCCGGAGGGTATCATAAAAAGAGAGTAGCAAAGGAAAGGAATCAATTCAGAGGATCGTGGCGGAAGGTGCAGTTGTCGCCCTTGAGACACTTTCCTTCGCGCCAGTATCGGCAAGGGACTAATCCAGCCTTTGGCTATTACAGAGTCAGCGATATGTTTGCTGCAAATCAGGTATCGGCAGGATACTTACGTGCTTCTTGTTTGGTGCTCCAAACTTGCTTCGCTTGGCGTAGCCAAATCTATCATCACCGGATTCTTCGGATCCATCCGTCTCACGCACACGCTTGCGCTCCAGTTCTTCGTATTGTTGGCCAGAAGGTTGAGATGAACTAGTCTGCTGATTCTGGTTGGCGAACTGTGAGATTATGGCAGCGAGATTCGGCGCCATCGCCGGTTGCGATGGTGGGACTTGGGGTACAATAGGCGCAGGCGGCATCTGTTTTTGTGCACTCATGACAGCCAATATTTTCTGGAAATCGAGGCCTTGCGTCGCTGGCGCCTGAGAAATGGCCGGAAACTGGGGAATTTGTGGAACTTGAGGCTGCTGCTGGCGGAACATGCTGATAGTCCGCTCCAGGTCAGACATGGGCGCCTGTGACGCAGGCTGAGGCGGCGGCGGTGGCGGCGGAGTAGACTGTTGTTGCGATGCGTTCTGGATGATTTTAAGCAAGTTCGAGATGTCGAACTGGTTGGTTTGAGCAATAGGCGGCGCAGCCGCAACAGGGGCTGGCTTCGGGTTGACCGCTGCGTAATATCGCTCTTGTCGAACCTAGAAATATGAATATCAGAAGCCCGTACAGAAAGTTGCCGACAAGGAAGAATTGGATGTGTTACCTTGATGTGATCCGGCAATTCTCCGAAGGAAGTCACTTCAGTCACAGGTTCATCAGCGTCAGTCTGGGGCGGCTCCTTTGGCGAGGGAGGAATATCCGCAGGAGACGTGTAGAAAACCATGAGCGTAGTAGCTTCCCGATGATCCTGGGCTTGCTTCTCGGGACTTGCAGGCTCTTGCGTGCCACCTCGTTTGATGTAGTTTCTGGAGCGATCCTCAGATGTCATGTCGCCTTTGTCAATTTCTATAATCCGTTAGCGAACACTCCATACCTTGCGTCAATACCGGCTTACCCGAAGGCTCTGTATAGTCCATCAAATTCTCTTCGCGAATGACGCCATCATCGTCATCTTCCAAGTCTTCAAGATCTCTGTGCAGTTTAAGGACACTACCCTCTCCTTTGATGTCACCAATTTCTCCCTGTGATCGATCACCCGGTCCTAGCTCCTCGTCAGGATCGTGGGTGAAGAGACGGACTTCCGTAAGAGACTCGTCAGGTTTCCACGTGACGCGCAATTTTCTTCGAGCCTCCTTGCGAAGTCGCCTCTGGCGTTCTTCTTCGGATTCAGGGGGTCGATCCTCAGTCGGCTCAACTGATTCAGGGTCCTTTTGCTTATTAAGATCTGCCATAATATCGCCAAAGGAGAAAGTAGGTCTAGGAGGTGGCGCCTGAGTTTCTTTCTTTTCGGCCGGAGGGCTGATCATTGTTAGCCTCATTTCTGAAGGCCCACATACAGGCGCTTCGCATTCTGCGTACCTTGTTTTCGCTGCGGCAGCTGCGGCGGCAGCGCGCTCCGCATTCGAGGTGCCTGGCCGTTTGGAAGCAGAAATCAAGCTGCCAAAGAGGCTTGTAGGCTTGGGAGCGATAATGTTGGCCTTCGGACGCGAGACAGCTGCACCAGATCTGTTCTCCTGAGCTGTCTCTTGTGGGCGCTTGATAGAGCCATTAGTGGTAGCATTGCCCGCCTTTGCACTAGGCTTGATATTGGATGTTACAACCATCCGCTTTGAAGCAGCCTGGCCATTGGGTTCTCCCTCCCGAGGCCTCTTCGAACCAGTGATTTCGGGACGGGAATTATTTGCAGGTGCTGCTTCAGAGGCAGAGCTCTTGGTCGCCGACCTCTCTTTAGCTGCGGGCTTGGTAGCCTCCTGTTTCCTTTTCGTGGAAGCAGCAGCATTGTCTAGGATCTTCTGAGAGAGCTCCTTGACAGTGGGACCCCCCTTCTTCACGAAACGGGGTAGAAGTTTGGCAATATTGGTTTTTTGCAGTACCTCCTCGTCCACGGTGCCAAAGCGTGCGAGTAACTATATTTCAGACGCTCTTAGTCCCTATGTCGAACCGGACGCCTAAATAAAAATGGGGGATGTACCTTGAGTATATTAACCGTGAATGCCCCATCCACGTCGGACGCTTGATGTCGATCTAGAAGAAAGGAATACATGGCAGCGAGCGCCATTGGATGTTCTCCCAACCTGAATGTCCATGTTAGCCATTCAGAACCCGGAAATGTGTAATTGATAATGTCAGAAATTTGGATAGAATCCGAAGTACATGCGACAGGTTCAACCAACTTTGACGGGTCAAGGTTAGTTCGTTGGTATTTCAGCGCTTCCTCAAGATCGATATTAAGAGCCCAGTTGAGAACCACAGAAAGGGGTTTTATCCTTCTGGTCCTCGGGCACAGAGCGATTAATCGCTCGTACTAACAATCATCTTCTAAGAAGGCTTCCTGACCATCGACGCTAATAGATTACGGGGGAGAGATTTCTCGATTCGTTTCTGACTTCTAAGGCCATAACGACGAAATGCCTGAAGAACAAGAAAAGGAAAAGATAAAGGACATACTTCTCAACGATAGCCGGGTGGCCTTTTTCAAGAGTGGTACTGACAACCACATCCATCAGGCGACGTTGCAGGACAACATCCTTCTTGAGCTGGGCTGCTCTGTCGTTCTCATCTTTGTTCTCTGCTATCTTCATCGCTTGACTGCTTTCTTTCCACGCATCCCTCACACGTTTGACAACGTCTTTAAATGCAACTAAAGCATTTTTGACCTTATCAGCGTTGGGCCTGCGATTGCGTGGCGACCAGACGGCTTGAAGTGTATCGTATTCCACAGCAGCCTCCGGTTCACTGGGTCGCGTCGCCGGTATGGGGGATGGCTCTTCGGGAAGTTGGATTTCTAGGTCGGAGTCATCAGAAGTCTCGCTTTCCGATGCCGAAGACTTCTTCGCAAGAGTTGTTGATTTCTTTGACACTGTCTTCGTGCGAGCTTTCTTCTTGGGCTGTTCAGTTGGTTTTACCTGCAAAGTTGAGTCTACAGAATTTTGACCTGGATATTATTGATATTAGCTGTTTAGTAAAATAAGGCTACCATGAAGGCAGATGGAGAGGGAAACGCCGCGGACCGCATACCGTTGACTTGGAAAATTCCTTCAAAAGCATTTTGACCGGGAATAGGTCGATTATTAGTTGTACTCTGACCCATAACAGATGGCACTTGCAAGTCGTTCTCGAAGAAGTTAAACAGCCTAGCACGGACTGTAAGTTGATGCCTTTACTTGCAGAATTTATTAGGGTTTAGAACTTACTTCCCATCATCGGGCCGGCCATAGTCAGCTGAATTCACGTAAAGAAAAGGGTTTTGGAGAGAAGGAGTTTGATTAGAAGAAGACTGCTGTGCGGGATTAAGAATCTGAGGATTGATGGTGGGGTCGTCGGTAACGTTTGTAGCTGGCTCAGTATAATTGGTCATGAAATTCATCTACTGTATGTCAGTGAAACGTCCTTAAGAGGATGAGTCTTCTGTATTCTTACCGAGTTCCCTTCGGAATATCCGGTTGGAAGCGAGTACGATGCAATAGGCGTTTGATGTGCGACAGACTGGTAATGATTCTGCTGGGAAGTCTGCGATTGAGAGGCCTGCGGTGAATTTGATTGAGGAAAGGCATCTGGAAGCGACATGTGCTGAGAAGAATAAAAGTTCTGAGGGAATGAGTAAGATTGATATGAAGGGCTGTTGGCTGCAGGGAGAGGCCGTGAATCGAATGTCACCTGGCCTGGAGGATATCGATGAACCTGATGATATTGAGTGGGCACCCCAAGACCTTGTGGAGCTGGCGAAAGTAATTGTTGTTGTTGTTGTTGTTGATGATGATGGTGATGTTGTTGTAGTGAATTCTGTTGCCACGACTGCGGAGTTGACGGTGAATATATGCCATGATCATGCTCTTGATGTGATGGTACTTGTGCTCTTTGCTGATGCTGTTGACTGAAGATCGGATGGTCCCAGCTGATCCCCATTGACTGAGTTTGTTGCTGCGGCTGTTGTTGTTGTTGCCGATGTTGTTGTTGCTGGTGCGACTGATGCAGCAGCTGTTGGGTCGGGTGTGGATGTTGGTGTGGAGGATCAGGACCGGGATATAATGAATCCAGATTGTTCCAATATTCGGGCTGAACTGAACCAGGAGTTACTGAGTTGCGATGCAAGCCAGGCATCATGCCCTGTGACGAGGGACGATCCATTTTGGGCTTAATTTGCCCGTTATAACAGACGTTGACTTTGATCGCAGGTGGTAGTTGTTATTGTACTAAACGGGTAATCTTATAAAGTCACATGTACCCACGTGTCTGGGATACCCAATATAGTAAAGTTCAGTTGCCGCTTTTCTCGGTTCGGAGTCGGCGGGAGCCGAGTGGAGCACTTGAAGGAGCAGCGAGGGATTTAATTGGTTGGCTGCTCAAGCCAACGGCAGTGCAGCTGATTGAAGTGTGAAAGAACGGTTTGGAGAACTTGATACGTCCAGATTGAAAGCGGTCAAGCCAGGAGAAAAACCAAGAAATTCCCGCCTTGCAGAGAGCGGCCGCAGCAAAGAACCTTGAAGGAACCGAAGGAGTTGTCAAGCAAGTTTCTTTGGTGCACTCCGTACGTTATGGCTGACCAGTGTGGCAGTGATTATCCACCCGCTTCGGAGAGCCTACCTTAGGTACCTTAAAATGCCCTGGACTTGGTGGTAGGGATACTGTAGTGGCCACAGGCTGGTAAAGGTTTGTGGCTGCAGTTCCTAAAGGTGTGTCCTGCAAGTCACGTTCAGATCTTGCGACCGTCTTGCGCCTTTTAGAAGCACCTTAGGTACCACAAAAATTGGTCAACACTTCCTTGTTTCGAATACACCGACCAGTCTTAAGGTAGAGGTTGTGGTCTGTTCCTTTTGTTCCTGGAATTCACTGCTCCCACTTCCTTTGTTCCTTAATCCCCAGCCTGATGTTTTGTTTCCTTATTATGCGCCCTTTGTCACTTTGACCTGCCTTGCCCACCTTTTTCTGTCGGGCAGACGCGACCAGTCAGCTCGGACTGCTAGTCCTTGTGGACTTTTCTTTCCTCTAAACTTGTCTTAAAGATAAAAGAAAGAGGTTCTCATACAAAGAACCACCCTGAATAGCAGTTCAGTAGCATAGTAATTCGCTTTACGGGGATGGTTGAGAGAATATGGATGGGTTGTTGTTGGTCGTGGTGATGAGGTAGAACTGGAAAAGCCGGGCGGCTCACGGGCGGTCCTGGTGATATTAGGGTGATTTCTCTGCTACTCCTGTTCGAGCCTAGTTGTAGTCATGTGATTGTCCCAGCCACGGTTCTCCCCAATTCGACAACATAGTTTGCTCTGTTTGTATTGAGCTAAGCTAGCCCGGGATTATGTCAGCTTCAACAATTGGGAGCATCTCAGGATGCCAGGTGGAGAGATACCGCGATAACATCATAGTACGGTCGGTGGTTATTCTTGGATTCCCCTGAGAGTTCAGGGCGAATGCAATAAGGAATTTATTTTTATCATCTCTGCGACTTGATCTTCATCGTCTCTCGCAATCCAGGTTGACGTGTCATGGTTCGAGTATAATTGCTTGATTTGTTGAAACAGCGCATGTGCAAGTGAACATTACCATGGGGTCTCACGCAATGTCTCTGCGAGACCGTCAGGTCGGTAGGTTTCCCCATGCAGTTGAAATTCATTCAATGAGTATAGCAAGTCGCTAACTGGTCTCATAGCGTCTATTCAGAAGATCCTCAATTTGAACCACGAGCCCCACGCGACGGATCATACCCCTCACGATATATCAGCTCAAGGTCTCATCTCCACGCCTATTCTCAATGAAGATGGCGATCCCATTTGGAAGGTCTTAGTGTTTGACAACATGGGCCGGGATGTCATCAGCAGCGTACTTCGTGTAAACGACCTTCGAGCTTGGGGTGTCACTATTCATCTGTATGGTCATGTGGTGCAAGGAGCATAGAATTGCAGCTAATCGTTTGTCTTCAAGGAATCTCAACTCTACCAGATATCCTATCCCTGATGTCCCCGTCGTATACCTCGTCGAACCGACTCCTGCAAACATCCAAGCAATTACGAATGATCTTTCCCGCGGACTTTATTCTCCTGCCTACGTGAACTTTCTCTCGTCGATACCTCGGCCACTTCTTGAAGACTTCGCGTCTCAAATCGCTTCCACCGGTACCGCGGAGCATGTTGCTCAAGTTTATGACCAGTACTTGAATTTTATCGTAGCCGAACCGGACCTCTTCAGCTTGGGACTAGGCAACGACGCATATTGGAAGATTAACAGCGCCAAAACAAGTGATGAAGAGTTGGACGGCATTGTTGACAAGATTGTTAGCGGGCTGTTCAGTGTCAGTGTCACTATGGGTATGTTTCAAACCTCTCCGCGCTCGAGAGTTAGCCGTTGATCATTCCTGGGATAAACAGGTGCGATTCCAATCATTCGTTGTCCGAAAGGCGGAGCTGCAGAGCTGATCGCCACAAAACTCGACCGTAAACTACGTGATCATATTCTGAATTCGAAAGACAACCTGTTCTCCAGCAACAAGAAAACCGCCGCAGGAGTACCTTCTTCACGACCCGTCTTGATTATCGTCGACCGTAATGTGGATTTGGTACCCATGCTGTCGCATTCATGGACCTACCAATCATTAGTACAAGACGTGCTTCAAATGCGGCTCAACCGGATAACCGTCGAAACTCCGATTGACGAGACAAACCCTGCTAAGGGCGTGACAAAGAAAGTATACGATTTAAACAGCAATGATTTCTTCTGGAAGCGTAACGCTGGAGCACCTTTTCCTCAGGTGGCGGAAGATATCGATGCTGAATTGACGCGCTATAAAGAAGACGCAAATGAAATCACGAAGAAGACCGGGGCGTCTTCTATTGAGGACTTGCAGAATGACACCAGCGCTTCTGCGCAGCACCTCAAAGCTGCGATTACCTTGCTTCCTGAGCTGCGTGAACGCAAAGCCATTCTGGACATGCACATGAATATAGCAACTGCACTGCTCAAGGGGATCAAAGACCGTCAGCTGGATAATTTCTTCGAGCTCGAGGAGAACATTACGAAACAATCTAAAACCCAGATCATGGACTTGATTAATGACCCTGCGAAAGGCAGCAACCCGACCGACAAGCTCCGGTTGTTCCTTATTTGGTTCCTAAGCACAGAAACAGACCTATCTCGCGCAGACTTGAGCCAATTTGAAGAGGCTCTCAGGCGCGCAGGAGTTGAGGATATCAGCCCACTGACCTACGTGCGCCAGGTTCGAGAGCTCACCCGGATGACCATGATGACGACTGCCGCACCGCAGCAGCAGTCCTCGGATTTATTCCGTGGATTCTCATCGCTTTCCAACCGCCTCACTGACCGCATAACTTCCGGAGCATTGGGTGCTAATTTCGATTCGCTCATTTCCGGCGTTAAGAATTTCCTCCCCGCCAACAAAGACCTCACGCTGACCAAGATCACCGAGTCCATCATGGATCCGTCCTCAGCCTCCAGTTCTGCAATTGCAAAAACAGAGAACTATCTCTATTTCGACCCGAGGAGCGCAAACGCGCGTGGAGCTATACCCCCGGCATCTGCGGCTCGCAATCCACAAGCCCCAGGAGCCCTTGGAGGTGTGGAGCGAGGGACCAGCGCGACTTTTGGCCAACGTCGCCAGGCATTCAACGAAGCAATCGTATTCACCGTCGGCGGAGGTAGCATAGACGAATACGGCAATTTGCAGGACTGGGTGCGCCAAACCAGCGGACAGCCGGGCGACGGTGCAGGGGCCGGCATTCATGCTGGAGCAGGAGCTATGGGTGGAGCTAGACGAAGAGTCGTCTATGGCAGTACTGATTTGATGAATGCTAATGAGTTCCTGACGGAATCGTTGTCCAAACTTGGCCGGGAAAGTTGATTCGGATCAGCTTTCTCCACGGAAGAAACCAGTTTGGTTTGTAAAGAAATAGATTCGTCTCTTAACGCTACATACCTTAATAAATATCATACATGATTCCGCTGCCTCTATCATAATCAAATACGTGCAACAGAATGGCTAGCTAGTTGGTATGATGTGTTCTTTATTTGGAATATCGAATTAGTACACCGTAGTCATTTAAGCCTACGAACTTGACCAAGCCACCAAAATATATGTTCGAACTCCACGGATTTGACAGTGTCACAGCACGTCTAAAATATAGTACCTTTAGAACTTACTAATAAACCTCGACAGTAAATGGTAAATTAGATATACTCGAAATCCAGCTCATTCGTAATCCCTTCCA